TGCCTTCTGTATTCTCCATATTCTGCAGCAGCCATGAAAATAAAAAATGAGGGCCCTCCCTGGTGGCGCAGCAGTTAAAGCACAGCACTAAGAAGCTAAAGCCACTTCAGCATGAGTTCGATCCCCGCCCTGGAGGTGACCCACATGGCGCAGCAGACCTCTCCTGATGCCTGCTGCTCCCCTCAGCAGTGTACTTCATCCGTCAGCCTGTCCTGCTCCCCACTCGGTCTCTGGCGAGTCCTTGCACCAACACTGCCCCTCTAACATGTACCCGAGTTCTGTATGCAAATAAATAAGTCTTTAAAAAAAGAAAAAATGAAATAAAAAGATGGCGCCAAGGTTGCCTCAATCCCAGTGGTAAACAGGGGACTGAAGTAGGGGACACACGAATCCCAAAGGCCTTCAGGGTCAAGTCCAAATGTCTCGTCTTGCTATTCAATATGCTGCCCAACTCCAACCTTCCTCCTCTCCACCACATCCTGAACTCCGTCAACTGAACTTCCCCAAAGTACAAAAAAAGTGGGAAGACTCCCCAAATCCTCCTGAACTTCCTTCTTGGTAAAGAAGGAAAATAGAGGCCGTGAGGGAATGTGCTCCCACAGCCCTCCTCCCACCACGGAAGCTGTTGGCTGGGCCTGGGGCTCAGTGTGAGCACCTCTCTCCTAGAAATCCTTCTCCCTCACCCCACCCACCCACCTTGCCTTGGTTTTCACCTTGTCATCACGTCACTTTCTCTGTTTCCCTCTCTAGCGCCAAGAGCACTGAAGGTGTGCCTGCCCGCTGCTGCCTATGCAGGGGTTACAGCGCAGCAATGTGCCCCCAGAGGTGCACACTATTGGCTGGTGTGTCCCCTGAAAGTCGGGTACCTCAGAATGGAACACAAATTAAAATGAGGTCACTAAGGTGGGCCCTAATCCCATTTGACCTGGTATTCTAATGTGCCCGCTGGGCCCCAGCCATGGTCACTCCATCCTGGCAGAGCAGAGTCCTGCCTCTCCCGGGGCCTGTTTTCATGCCTGCCTTCCAAATGGCACCCCACTCCTCTGTGATAGCAGCCAGAGGGAGGGGCCTGCTTTTGCAGTTCAGTCAGAGCTCTCCTTCTGGCAGCCCCCTCACTTGGCCTGGGTTGGGGAACACACCCTCTCCCCTCCTCAAGTGGTCTGTTTGTAGGGTTCCCTTTGTGATTTCCCCTGCTAAGCCTTCTCTGGCACAAGGTGAAGTGGGTTGATAATACAGGGACTGTTAGACCAATCCTTCAGGGGGGTGTGGAACGCCTACTGAGACAATGTGGGGGTCGGGTCCTGAGCTCTTGTCCAGACAGCAGAATTATGTTCCATCCCACAGGCTGTTAGGCTTCTAGAATAAAACCAAAGGGAGACCTTGTGTCAATCAGGGTCCTGGCAGGAAACAAAGTCAGACTCAGCTGTTTTGTTTTATTTTGTTTTTAAGCAGATTTAATGAAAGGACTATTACTTGGGTGTGGGCATTAGGAAACCAGCATGGGATGCTGCGGCCCAGGACTAGCACTGGCGGGAAGCTTACCACTGCAGGTTTCAGGGGCCAGGGGAGGGGTCGGGGGCAGGGGGAGGGCACAGCCATGCCCCAAGCTCTTTCGTCTCCCATGTCCTGCTGGTGCCTCCCATTAGGTGCATCCAGCCTGGAGCCAGGGGCCATGGGAACCAGTGACACCCTAGACAGAGGACAGGATGGAGAGGCAAGTGCCACGGGGGTGGGCACGTGAGGCAAGCAAGGGCAAAGGGAGGGTGCTCCCACCTCCTGGAGTCTGGCTTCTGAGCAGACAGTGTAGTGGGCCTGTACTTTAAGCAGCGTCACCCCAACAGTCCTCATTACAAAACCGTGGCCAAGGGTCTGTGGCCAGGGCCCTGGAGGACTTCCACTCCCACCCACCCCAAATGAGCTTGAGCTGGCCTCCCAGCACCCCCTGAGGCCTTGAAGGCCTCCCAACAAAGTCAATCAGAGTTGTCCCCCTCAAGCAGTGAAGGAAACCTGAGAGAACATTCTTCAGATCCAAGCAGGGATCTTTCTCAGATACTGGGCAGTGCAAATCAATTATCAGAAGGGTTGCACCAAGCTCAGGGCTGTGCAGGCCCAAGCTGGAGGTGGAACCAGTATGACTCAGAGCTGCACTTCCAGAGGTCCCACCAATTCGTCAGGACCTAGTCACCACTGGGGTTAGCAGCACCCCAAGACCAGAATCTTGTGCTTCTCTTTCTCGACTCAGTCTCTCTCAAAATGAAGTCCAGGGCAATGCATTGAATCAGCTAAATGAAAGTCATGTGTTTTCAGCCAAACTTTGAGTTCTAGTCAGGAGGAGAACTCCCCAAACATGGGAGGAGATTTCCCATGGTGGGCAGGCAACTAATACATTCACTAAATGATGCATGTAACTTTTTCAATGTGTTGGAATTATTTCCTTCAGGCAATGTCTTCAAAGGCAGATACTGATTCCTGGGTAAGTATTTCCAAATTTCTTTCCCTAAAGAGTTAAGCTAATTCCCAACCCCATCCAGAAAAGACAATGCCTGCTTTGCCCAACCCACATACTTGGGTTTTTTAAAAAAAAACGAATAGGTAAAATATGATCGATACCTCATTGCTTATAGTCCCTTTTGTTTCAATGTTTGTTTGTGTTCTGCAAAAGCCTTTGATACTTGACTCAGGACATGTTTTATTGTTTGTTTTGACGACTGACTTTTCATTCTTTTACTTTTTGTAGCCTGTGCTAAAATTAGCTGGCGTTTGCTGAAAGGAGAGATGTATTAGGATTAGATTCAGCTGTGTGTAACAGAATAAAACCCAAGATAGGTTTAAACAGATAGAAGTTTCTTTCTCATCCACATCAAAGAGATCTAGGGAAATGCAGCCTCAGACTGGCCTTGAACCTGATGCACAAAGTCATCCCTCCACCCCTCCACCATCACCTGACCACCCCTCCACCATCACCTCATCCTCACTGCCCAAAGTGGCAGCCAGAGCTCCAGCCATCATGTCCAGCAGCAGGACAGAGAGGAGAAAGAAAAAGGAACAGTGCCCACCTTTACAAAACTTTACAACTTTTATCTTGTTGGTCAAAATCCAGACATGTCCAAGTTAGGCTGGAAAATGAACCCAACTAAAAGTCAGGCTTTTACTACTCAGGACTAAGGGAAGAGTGGACTCAATAGGCAGGAACCTTTCTCGTCCACGAAAATAAAAATCACATTGAGGACAATCCATTCATATAAGAGCCATCATGTTTATGAAGATAGGTTATTCATTATGGGTGTTGTGCTTTGCATTTGCTATATGTTACTTAACCCTTTGAAATAGGTAGACCCTTTGAAGCAGATGCTGTTACTATCATTTTTCAGAGGAGGAAACCAAGGCACAGAGAGATTAAGTAACTTGTCCAAGGTCACCCAATTAACAGGCATCCTGGTTCCAGAAACTCTAAAACATGACACAACTATAAAGAGAAGCAACTCTTACAAGCAGCACCAAGCCAGGAGGTGGGCTGGGCTCGTCCAGGGGTTTATAAGGAGAGGGGAGCTGTTTTGTCTCATTTGTTCAGTACTTTAACAAAATTTTCCCAGGATTGTTTGCAGTAAACTGACTAATGCCTATGTTTGCCTCTCCTTGGGGGCAGATATTAGATCTGGTTCTCTGAAGCCATGTGGCCTGTGACTAAGGTCACAAGCCGGCTCACTGGGCATGCAGGACAGGACACACGGACCTGCCCGGGAAGAAAGGACTGACAGGTGGGAACTGCAGGCAACAGTGCAGGCAAAGGTAGGGGGACTCCACCATGCGTGGTCTGGGATGGCCACATGTACTCTACGAGTCACAAGCAGTAAGGGGTAAGGTCCTTCAGGTCGGCTGGAGCCAGACTTCCAATCCAAGGTGAGATATTTAGCCTCTACCCCGAGTCAGCAGGCAATAGTAGCCACCGCCGGCTTTAAGCAGGTGATGACAGTCAAGAGTGGCCATCTAGAAAGATTGCTCTAGTCATACAGAAGGGACAGAAGGGCAGAGACCAGCAGCAGGGGGCGCCATAAAGAGACTGGAACAGTGCGCACCCTGGTGGGAGGACCCTGAGGAGACTGGGACCCAGGAGAGAAAGGCGCTGCGTGTCAGGGATGGTTGGGAGGCAGACAGGGCAGTGGGGCAGGAAATAAATAGGTGGGCGGAGAGGAAACACTGGTCTTGATGAGCCCGGGGGAGTTTGACAGAGAACGGGGACTGAAGTGAAGGGTTTGGAAGAAGGGAAAGGTGAGGTGAGGAAAAACAGAAGAGGCCCTATGCTGGGGTGTGTGAGCCAGAAAAATGGGCCGGGGAAGTCTTTGAGGGGGGAAGGAAGGGGCCAAAGTGAGGGGGGCAGCAGAAGGGCTGGAGAGGGGCCCTGGCTGGAGCCGGGGCAGACAGCAGTTGGACGCCCGCAGGCTGTGCTCACGGCTCAGCAATGTCCTGGCCCTGCCAGGAGACAGTCTGGCCCCCACCATCCCTGGCCCCTACAGCCCGCTAGGCTCCCACATCAGGAACTCTGAAGCTGTTCCCCAGTTGTCTGCTCCCCCAGAATGGGCCTCAGAACCCAGACATACCTACATCACCACCCCTCAGTTTCCCCCCATGGCTGATTAAACACAGGCCAGGGAAGGAGAGAAAATAAACAGACATCTGGGGGGGGGGGGGGCATCATGAAGCAGGGGATGGGTTGGGGGTGCCAGGGGGCCCACAAGCCCAGAGGGTGCTGGAGGGGATCCAAGGGGCAGTGTGAGCCAGCAGGGAATTAATGTTTACAGAGCTTTGCCTTGACAGGCCTAATGAGACGCAGGTGGCCCCCTGGCACAGGCCCCACTCCCCCAGGCCTCCTGACAGGGTAAGGCGATGCTGGTTCTGTGGCTGGGGAGGTGGAGTAGGGGTTCTGCTGTTACAGGGGGTGGGGCCTGGGCGCTGGCCCAGGGCCCAGCACATAACTCTGGGCCGTTGCAGTCTGGGGCGCAGTCTGGGGCAGCAGACACCCAGCAGCTCAGAGCTGATCTGACAGCATGAAGGTACCGGGCGGGGGCCAGGGGACCAGGCGCTGGGGCCTAGAGCGCACTCTGGAGAGGAGCCTCACCAGAGAGGCTATGAAGGCACAGGGGTTCTTGTGATCCAGCTGAAACTCTCAAGCTACTAGCTTGAAATGGGGTGCTGAGCCTATCCTGGAGAGGGGGTCACTTGGGAGGAGAAAGAGGTGCCAAAGACCAGCAAGGGGTTTTGCAGAGGGTGGCCTGTGTGACGGGGAAGTGCGAGGAAAGCAGAGGCATCTCTGGGCGTGGGAGAGGCTGCAGTGAAGTGACGTCTCCCTGTCCTTGCTAGGCCCTCCTGGCCCTGCCGCTGCTCTTGCTTCTCTCCACTCCGCCCTGTGCTCCCCAGGCCTCCGGGATCCGGGGTGATGGTAAGCAGCCTGAAGGGGTGAGGAGCTGGTAGGAGCCATCTCTTCTGGGAGTCAGGCCCCAGGGTGGCCCTCCAGCTCTCAGGATTTGGTTTCCTTCTTTATAAAACGGGGCAGGTCGAGGGGTGGTCTTCGAGCCATCCATTTGAAGAAATCTTGCCATTTCTTGTGTGAGAACCTTGCTCCCAGGTACTGAGGCAAACTGTGGGGTGCTGAGAGTAAGCCCGTCTTATTCTCCCTGCCCTGCCCCCAGCTCTGGAGAAGTCTTGCGTGCAGCAGCCGCTAGACTGTGATGACATTTATGCCCAGGGGTACCAGGCAGACGGCGTGTACCTCATCTACCCCTCGGGCCCCAGCGTGCCCGTGCCTGTCTTCTGTGACATGACCACGGAGGGCGGAAAGTGGACGGTAAGTGTGGGGAGGGGGCACAGGGGGAAGACAGAGGGCTGGTTCTATAGTCTCAGCGGTGTGACCAAGCCTCACATCTGTGCACTGCTTTCCTCATCTCTAAAATGGGACCATTTGCAAGCTGCTGCTGCTACCAATACTTAATTCAAGGTGCTTGAAGTAGGTTAACACAAGTAATCCTCACAGTTGTGGAAGACACCTCATAAAGATGAACTGAAGCCCAGAGGTGAGGTAACTTGCCCAAGGTCACACACCCTGCACAAGGGCTCACACTGCGAACTTAAACTCTATAGCAAGTCCCTCTCTGCACTCCAGCAGCTGTTCAGAGGGGCCTGGGGCCAGCACGCACCTTGTTTAGGGCCCCTGGCTCAGTCCTTTCACTAAATGCATCACCACCACCATATCCAGATCTGGGGGGGGTGGCCTCTACCCAGGGACTCTAGATTATCTAAGCTCATCCTCTCTGCTTCAGATTTTTCAGAAGAGATTCAATGGCTCAGTGAGTTTCTTCCGGGGCTGGAATGATTATAAGCTGGGCTTTGGCCGTGCTGACGGGGAGTACTGGCTGGGTAAGGCAAGGGTCAGGTGGGTTGGGCTGGGGGTGGACCCGGAGTCAGATCCTTGCTGACCAACTAACTGCCCCTCCTCCCCAGGGCTGCAGAACCTGCACCTCCTGACACTGAAGCAGAAGTACGAGCTGCGAGTGGACTTGGAAGACTTTGAAAACAACACAGCCTATGCCAAATACATCGACTTCTCCATCTCACCCAATGCTATCAGTGCTGAGGAGGACGGCTATACCCTCTATGTGGCAGGCTTTGAGGACGGCGGGGCAGGTATCCCCTCCACAGCCTAAGGGGGTGGGGTGGGGGAGGGTAGGCAGGGCTGGCACCACCCACTTGCCCATGACCCTCTCCAGGTCCCTCCTTTCCCCTTCTGAACCTGGAAGGGCTATAGCTGGCTTCCACCCACCTTGACCCTCAGGCCCTGGGAGAAGCCCCATCTGCTCCAGGCAGTCCCAAGAAGCAGCTGTTTGTCTCTGTTGCAGCAGCACAGCTACCCAACATCTGGCTCAGGGAGGGTAGCTCATCACTCCAGACTGTCATGTGACATCAGAGTTATCCACTGCTGCTGTCACCCCTTCTCCCCCCTCCCTGCGGGGCTCTGGCTCAGCTCCCAGCCTCAGGAGCCCCCTCCCTCCTCCCCTCTGCAGGTGACTCCCTCTCCTACCACAGTGGCCAGAAGTTCTCCACCTTTGACCGGGACCAGGACCTCTTTGTACAGAACTGTGCAGCCCTCTCCTCAGGAGCCTTCTGGTTCCGCAGCTGCCACTTTGCCAACCTCAATGGGTTCTACCTGGGTGGTTCCCACCTCTCCTATGCCAATGGCATCAACTGGGCTCAGTGGAAGGGCTTCTACTACTCCCTCAAGCGTACGGAGATGAAAATCCGCCGGGCCTGAAATCCCTCAGGCTCCAGCCCTTCCCTGGCTGCCCCTGGTCTCTAAGAGCACATCCTCTGCATGCCCCCACCCCTCGCCCCCTTCAATCAGGGGTGCTACCCTCTCAGCACCTCACAGAGGGCCTTGTGGCTCTAGCCCCAGCTGACCCCATCACATACCTCTGCTCCCCTCCCACGGAGGCTCTGGTGCCAAAAGCTTCCCAGGTTTTTTCTGAAGAGCCAGCCACACCAGCCCACAATTGGCTGGGCTCACCAGACTCATTGCTGCCTCTGCCCCATTTCAAAGTCTGAGAGCCAGGAGCTGCTCTGAGGCTGCAGATTTTTGTGCTCCACCAGCATCCTTACCATGGACAGCTTGCTCTGGGGCCATCCTGCCAGGTTAGACTGAGCTGCTGCAGCCTGAGCAACACCCGCAACATACCAGGCTGCACCAGGGCACTGCCTCTGGCTGTCCTCAGTGCACCTTCATCCTCAGCCTCCTACCACCAACTTATTCCCCACTAGTGAGCAACTTATTCCCCAGCCCCATTCTATTATACGCAGCTTTCCCGACCTGCCTGTCCCAGGCCCCCTAAAGCTCAAAGCCATAACTGTATACCATCCTAAAATAGCCACATCCAAGGTAGGCATAAATGCAAGATCCCACCTGCCCCAGGGTTGAGGTTTGGTCATGTAAGGGGGTACAGGACAAGCTCTGTGGGGTGGGATCAGGTGGGAAGTACAGGTCTCAATAAACCTCAGGATCTGAATGAAGTGACTCTGGCTGCTGTCCATGCATGCATTTGCTTGGTCCCTAAATGTGGGGACCTGTTTCTTCCTTGCCCCCCTACCGATACCCTGGTCTGAACTCCAAAAAAAGAGCTGGAGTCAGGTGCTAGAAGAAACCTTGTATTTCACAGGCCTCTAATAGCTAACAAAAAGATTACATAATAAAATAATAGTAATAATAATAATAATAATAAAATACAATACTGAAAAGGATTGCTTGGGGAGAAAGGGATTCCCAATCCTGCCATGGTTTGGTGGTGGCTCAGGTGGCTACTTAAGGCCGCAGGGCGGGTCTGAGATGAACCTGCAGAAATAATCCAAGTGAAGCTTCCCCTGTTAGGTTAGGGCTCCGGTCCTGGGGAATGCACCCGTGGGCTTGGTGCTGGGGCTACCCCTGGAAGCAAGGCACAGGCTATGGGTCTCAGGGTTCCTGAAGGTCGGACAGGTCTGCCAGCAGCATTGGGGAGTCCATCTGTATCTCACGCTGCAAGGACTCAATGTCAGCAGGGTTCATCCCGTGGCCCTCAAGCCAGTCGGCAAGCAGTGAAGCCGAGAGTGAGGCTGAGTCTGCCTGGCTGTTGGGAGAGGGGAAATGGAGAGAGCAGAGGGGAGAAACACTGTCAGCTTAAGGCTGGCTCCTCACCCATCCCAGAGGCAAGGTCTTCCTGTACCAGGAACCCACACCCATGGCCTCATTCCAGAAGTTGGGTCCATCTTACCCATCCTGTGGTCCATCAGCTACACCCATGTCAAAAGACTGGTTCAGGAATTCCTCCAGGTCAAAGCCAACACCATAGCCAGCCCCACTGCCCTTTGGCGTGCCAGAGAAAACGGGGGGCAAGGGGTCTTCTACCTGCAGAAGAGGATGACAGGTTACAACACAGGCACCACCAGGAGCATAGTAAGGTCTGCAAGACACAGCTGGCAGCTCTGCCAGGACTTCAGGTGACAGCTTACAGGCCAGCCTCAACAGTCACTGAAGGCTGGCCAGGGCACATTTCCAGGCCCAGCACTTCCCAGAGAGCATCTTATTACATCCCAACAACCTCCCCATTGGCATTATACTCCTTCTGACCAATAGCACAGTTCAAAGCTTCACCTGATGCTCAACTGTCATGGAACAAGGACACACCAGTCTCTTTTATCCCTATTAAACAAGGGCTTTCCCAAACCCATTTTCCCTGGGTCCAGACCCAGGTGTCTTCATGGTATGGGCCTCTCCTCTCACCTGTGACTTGGACAGCTGCTGGGTCACCAGGTTGACATCGGGTGACTCTGAAGTGGAGGGCTGAGGGGGCCCCCCAGGGTCTGGAGGGGGAGGGCCAGATGAGAAGTAAGGCAGAACACCTGGGCCACTCGGGCCAGGCAACCCAGGGGGTGGCACAAGTGGTTGGGGAGCTAGGAGGCTGGAGGAGGTGGTGGTTGGGAGAGGAGCAGGACCAGGGATGGGCCCTGGAGGGCCAGCAGGATGGGGAGGAGGCGGGCATGTAGGCTGTGATCCAAGACCAGGGGTGGAGCCTGCAAGTTGTGGTGGGGGACCTGCTGGCTGGGCTACAGGACCAACGGGAGAACTGGTGGGCTGGGCTACAGGGGGTGTTGGTACTGGGGCATGGGCTGGTGCCACGGTGGGGGCTGTGGCCGGGGTGGAGGCTGGGGGCCGGGCCATGCGTGTCCAGCGTTCTAGCAGACTACGGTCATTGTCACTAAGCACCAGTCCAGCCAGGGGATCGGTAGAAGGGCCCCCAGAGGTCCCGGTCCCTCGCTCCTTGCGCTCCCGCTCCTGTCGCCGCTTCTCCCGCTCCTTGGCTCGCTCCTGTCGCCGCCTTCGCTTCTCCTCCCGCTCCCGCTGGCGCTCCTGGGCTGTCACAGGTTTCCGAGGCTCAGGAGCTTCAAGGGGGGCACTGGGGCCATCTGCAGGGAAGTTGGGCAAGAGAAGGTAAGAGTCTGCAGCCCTGTACAAACCCAAGAACCTCAACCCCACTCCCCAGCCAGCTGCTGCCTCTCCAAGACACCTCTGAGCCGGCTCCGCAAGGACTTGAGCAGGGCAGCCTTGAGGGCAGCTTTAGTGTTGTCTGAGATGGCACCCTCCCTCTTCGGAGGTGCTGCTTCACTGGTGGGTGGAGGCGGCTGCAGGGTCAGATCAATGGTGTCAGGTGCAGGGCCAGAGCATGGCGGGGGTGCTGGCGGAGGTGACTCCATAGCACAGTCCCCACTAGGAGCCCAGGGACTGGGCATCTCAACATCAGGACAACCAGGTTCACTGGCCACAGGCTGTAGGGAAGGCTGGAAGCGGATCTGCTGGCGGATGCCCTCACGCCGTGCATGAAAGTCCTCAATCTCGGCCACGATAGCTTCCTTGATTCGTTCCCGGGTGAGGGCTTCTCGGTCAAAGGCAAAGTCAAAGGGTGGGGCACAGTCAGGCTCATCATCAGGGTCATGGTACTTGGCTAGGAAGGGGTGGCGAAGGGCAGCAGCTGCTGAGATGCGGGCACTGGGCTCAAAACGCAGCATGCGCCCTAGCAATGAGAGGGCCTGGCGGTCGGCACCTGGGTACACTGTCTCCCAAGGCACAGGCTGGCGAGGTGGTAGGCTCTGGATATAAGCCCGCACTCTCTCAGCCCCAACAGCCTGGATCACAGCTGGTGATGGTGTACCCAGCACCATCATGATCAGTTGCAGCTGGTGCACATAGTTCTTGCCTGGGAAGAGCTGGCGCCGGGCCAACATTTCACCAAAGATGCAGCCTACGGACCATAGATCAATAGCCTGTGTGTACTCATGCAGTGAGAGCATGAGCTCAGGGGCACGGTACCAGCGCGTGGCTACATACTCAGTCATAAAGTACTGGTGTTCGGCAGGAGAGGTACACAGGCCACGAGCCATGCCAAAGTCACCAATCTTGAGTTCACAGTTCTCATTCACCAACAGGTTTGAGGGCTTGAGGTCACGGTGGATGACCTGAGCTGAGTGCATGTACTTGAGGCCCCGCAGCAACTGGTACAGAAAGTAGCGCACGTGCTCCAGCGTGAGAGGCTGTGAGGAGTGGATGATCTGGTGCAGGTCACTCTCCATCAGGTCCAGGACCACATAGCTGAAAGAGGCAGGGGAGAAAAGTGTGGGCTAATCTACCCGTGTTTCAGCCCCTCACCATCTCCTCCCAGCTCCAGACAGGCAAGTTGCTACCCTCACTCTGTAGGACTGACAGCATGGTATGAAGATTCTAGATACTCTACAACTCCTCCAAGTTTTCCCATCAGAGAAAAGATGGGGATGGAGTAAACCGGGACGGACCAACAGGTTGAAGTTTCGGGGCCATTTCCATTGTTTGGTAGTAGCAATTTAAAGGACTATAAAGAGACTGTGGAGGTTTGTCTGTTTTCTGTAGGAAAAGTGTTTTGTGACTGATTAGTGATATCAGCTATGGGAATGGCAGGTGCAATTATAATATAAATCCTTTGTACTGAGAGGCTATTATAAAGTTGTAGTTGATATACTCTTCTTGAGGAATTAGCTGTCCTGGGAAAGCCCTAATAAACACTGGTCCTGGAATCAGGGAATTACCCCAGCCTCCTTCACATTAGATTCAACTGCCCTTCCAGAACTTTAGCAATACAGTCCCAGACCTCTCTGTTCCCTCTCCCATCCCTGCTCCTTACACAGACTTGAACTCCCCATAAGGCACAGTGGGCCTCAGGATGTCCTTGATGGCGATGATGTTGTCATGTTTAAAGTGTTTGAGTATCTTCAATTCCCGGAGTGTCCGCTTTGCATTGGTCACCACATCAAAAGCATTAGGGATCTTCTTAATGGCCACCTGCTGGCCTAAGAAGCAGAGAAGAGGCAGATACCATAAAGTGTCCTGGGGTAGCTGCGTGATGACACCGGCCGTTTCAACACCTCCCTTCTTGGATGCGAGTAACAGCTCCCATAATGTGAATACTATGTGCCAAACCTGTGCTAAGCTCGCCACAGACATTATCAGAGTCTCCCTTTACATCGATCCTGTGGCAAGTACTAACAGCTAAAAATCAAATGAGGAAACTGCGCCCAATGACTTGTTGGTGTCCAGCTAGTGGTAAAGTCTGGATTCTAATATCTGAACTCATTCTACCTTCCTGCATTCTTCACCTAGAATCCAGTAATCCTACCATCAATCCATCAATCCACTGTGGCACTCTCTAGCTCCAGAACACACTTCTTTTAGAAGCCACCGGCAGGGCTTCCGTTGCATTCTAAGCGGGATGGTCATTTTTCTAAGGAGGAAGGAAGCTGGCTGATGTGACAGCAAAACCATCATGGCAGAGCTACAAAGAACTGTGTCCACATTGAGCCTGACACCCAGATGGCACCTAGCCTATAAGCAGACTTCACATTCCAGCCTCCCCTCCTGGCTCTTTTGGGCCGGTCTCCACGTCTGGGAGAGATCCAGAGGGAAGCTCACCCGTGAGGCGGCGGCGCGCGGAGGACACCACTCCATAAGCACCGTTGCCTATGGTTTCGATGATTTCGTACTCGTCCCCCACGTCAAAGGTCACATCGAAGGAGCGGGCTTTGAGCAAGGCAAGGTTCTTGGCTGCCACCGAGGCAGCGGTATTGGTGGGCTCCACCTTCACCGGCCCAGGGGGCTCCCCAGAGCCGTCCTCGCCATCTTCTTCCTTCAGAGGCTCAGCCATGGCGTCTGTGTAGAGACGCCTGTGAGGACAGACCCATCCAGCCCCCGCCCCGGCCTCAATTTCCCCTCTGTAGGCTGGGGAGCGGGACCTGGAATATCCAAGTTCCCTAAGCCGCCGGAAGCTGGGGAGAGGCGGCGAAAGAGAACGGCTGGCACGTGGAGGGCGTCCTCTACCTGGACTGGAGCCCAGAGCTCAGGTCCGGGTGGAACGCAGGGTCGCGGGTGGGGGAGGTGCGGAGAGGCGCGGTCCAGGAAGAAAGGGAGGGGCGGGGCACTTCGCTTTCCTCGGTCCACACTCACCGAATGGCGCCTCACCCCGACGCCTCCTAAGTGTTTTTGGAGATCCTCGACGCCCCCCGGACTCCGGACCCTAGTGGAACGGAACTCCAATACTCGCTAGCTCACTTGTTCAAGGCCGCCGCCACCACCTCAGCGTCGCGCCCGGCCCCGCCGCTCCTCCCGTCCCGCCTCCCAGGACCACGCCCCTCCTGGCTCCAACCAATCACCGGACGATGTCTGCAGAGGTTCCCACCCCTTCTTTTTGCTACGCCCAATCCCAGTGCACATTTTAAGAAAGCCACGCCTCGGAGCGCGCGCCCCTCTGTTCAGATCGGCTGCGGGCGCCGCCCAAAAGGCGCTCCAGCGGCACTTAGCTCGCGGCCTGGCGCTGTCTTCTGACGCATGCGCGCTGGTAGCCCCGGGAGCCGCGTGCATGGAAAGCAATGCCCCCGTACGTGCGCGCGCACGTGCATGCATCCCCATCACCGTCCTGGGAAGTTGGCGGAGCTGAGATGCCTGGGATTGTTGCCTTAGCGGCCAGCACATAAAATCTTCTCTTGGTCGCGCTTCCTCACCAGTCCCCATGGCTGCGGGGGCTATGCCCCCTACTTTCCTGATCGGTCCCTGGACCCCAGCTCTGCGGTCATCACCCCAGGTCTAGGACGAGCCCTCAGTCCAACCACAGAGATCCGGGTCCGCCGGGATTCTAGAGCGTCCAGCCTGACCCCTCCACTGACTGACTTCCGGTGGCTTCAACCACCGGCGTCCCTCTCCTTGTGTCGCGGTTTCCTGGCTTCCCGTTTGTTTCCTCCCGGTGGTGGTTTGTCCCGCCACCCTTGCTCTTTGAAACTGTGGTGGGCAGCGGGCGAGCAGTCCGGCTCTGACTCCGCGGAGCCGAGTTGTAGCCGAGTCCAGAGAGGGCCTGGGTGCCCTGGCCTACTCAGAACCTGAGCATTCATTCATAAGGCAGGTGTTGCTCGAGCCCCACTCCCCTAAGGCCATGTGGTAGTGAGCAGTGAGAGCCAGGTAAAGGTTTTCACCAAGGATCGCAAGGTAGGACTGTAAAAGGCTCCAAAGACGACTGTATGGGGAGGTGCTGGGGAAACAGGCAAGGGCATGGAGGCCGGGAAGAGCGGAACAACGGCGCTGCAGTCTTCCTTTGCCCTGATAATGACGGTGAACGCAGCGAGATGAGGATGGGACCCAGTGAAGAGCAGAAGCCGAGTGCCAGATTAAGGGTTTGTGCTTGACTAGCAAAGTAATGGCCAGAGTGGATCCATCCAGAAACGAATTTTTGTCAACCTAAATTTTAAGATGTTTGTGTTTCTGTTTTCCCATTAAAGCACACTCAAAGTTCCACGTATGTATAGCTCAGTTCTCACAAATTTAACTTGCGAAACTATTGAATTTAGTTGAAGAAAAAAATAGCCACCCCCTTAGAAGCCCTTTCTTTTCAAGTAATGACAGGAAATTGTTAACACAATCTTTATTTTGGCATTGTATTTCAAGACATTTTTTGGGCTTCATACATTAAAATAGAAAATAGATACTGCATTAAAAAATTTCAGCATACGGAAAAATATGTTTGGACAAATGGATAGTGAGGCATTAGACACTTAAAATATGATCATATAGGCCTCCTCACATAAGATGGAACTCTAAATTTAGTTCAGTCAACAGATACAGAAATCTTTTGATATTTGCTTTCCCAACAGCATAGCAACAGTTAGGTGCTTTACATTCAGCATTCATATAGGGAAGGGGGGAGATGTCCCGAACAAACTCCACAAATAGGTTTTATGGACCCCACCCCCACCCCAGACCAGGAGATCAGGACACCAAGGACCACAAATCCCATGTCATCACCACCGAAGGGAGGGTTGCTGGGAACTGAGGGTGGAGGTAAGCAGCCAGGTTTGGTATGTAACCAGACATGTGGGTCTTGGGACCCTTGGTTGTCTTCAGGCCCTTGGTTTCTTGGCAGCTTTCAGTGTGCTTTTGGGGTTCCAGGTCAGCGGAATTGGTAGGATACATTCACCAATTTATATCTCTCTTTCTCCCTGAGTTCTTCATTTCCCCTTTCTGTAAATAAACCCTTTATCAACCTGTTTGTGTGTACCTGTAGTTGAGTCTCATAAGTCCCTTTTAAGCACACCAGGTGAGGACCCAAAATAAGGCCAATCCATTTCACATTGGGTTGTAACAACAGCACAGTCATGAGAACTGGATACATTTGGTCACTGGGGTCTGAAAACATTTCTTTGATGGCCATTGCTTAGGTGATACAGTAAACAATCTTCCCTAACTGAAGAGAGTGCAACATAAGTAGAGGGCAGGCCCTCCCTGGTAACACAATGGGTTAAAGCCAGAGGCAGCACTTCAGTGCAACTTTGATCCCTGCCCTGGAGGCACAGCAGACCTCTCCTGTCCTGACCACTGCTCCCCTCAGTAGTGTACTTCATCAGTCAGTCTGTTCTGCTCCCCACTCTGTCTCTGGTGAATCTTCTCACTGCCCCTGCATCTCTGGCCTATACCCCAGTTCTGTATGCATAAGTAAATCTGGACATGTTAAAAGGATCATTTCAGGGGACCAAATGGACAAGTGAGTGATGAGTTGTCTGATCTAGGAATAAAAAAAAAAAATCAGAAGACTGATAAGTTATATCTTTTCAGTATTTCTGTGTAGATATTTCAGCTGCAGTGGCTACACAAGGTGCAGACTATTCAACACTTGGGCAAAAACTTGCTGATTCTCCTTTATCCACTCTGACCTACTTGACTTCTGCCCCCACTAGGTCCTGACTCTCCTGAAAAGTCATCTGTTATCTAATTACAGGCAAATCCAGTGGCCTGTCCTTGGCTCTTGCTTTACTGAGCTCTGCTGCAATAATTCAACTGACCATTTCTTTAACAAGTTGTTTAATAGATTTGAAATTCAAGATACGAATTTAGGTGAACAAATCTGGGCCCCACCCCCAAGTGCCCTCTTTCATTAGTTTCTTACTGAAAATAAAATTCAAGAGCTACAAATTCACAAGCAAATACAAATACATATTCTTATCCACCTCCCCTTTGATAGGGGCCAGGTAGCATGTTGTATGTACCTTTCCTGAACACCCTGATATATCAATAGCTAGAGGACCTTTTGATTTTTTTCCCCTATAGCAACATTTTCAAAGATATCATTCACGCACCATAATACTTCTCTAAGTGTACAGTCCAGTATTATGAGTGTTTATTAAGTTGTACAACCATCACGACTACCTAATTTAGAACATCTTCACCACCCCTAAAAAAACTCATCAGTAGTCATACCTCATTTCCCTTCACCCAGCCCTGGAAACCACTAATCTATTTTCTCTATGGATCTGCCTTTTCTGCCCATTCTTCCATTCTAAGATAATGACCTTGGATGAAGGAGATAGAATCTTTCATGTAAACAGAATCTTTTTCATGACCTTTTATGTCTGACATCTTTGACCTCTCATAATGTTTTATAGATTCTGGTAGGTCCTGGTAGCATGGTTCAGAATTTTTTTTTTTTTAGGCCACACAATCGGCATCATTTTCATTTTGAAAATGATAGTTGCTGCCCTTTCTTCTTGCACTGGTCCTGCATGTCCCTGGCTGTCTTGTCTAGGCACAGGGCCTAGCCAGCCAGGTAGTCCACCCAGCCCTCCAGAGTGTAGTGGGCAAGTTTCAGGAAGAGCACTGGCTTGTGGGACCTGCTCCCATCCCACTGGTGAGTTCACTGGTTCCTGCCCATGCACACGCCAGACAACGGACTCCACGTCGGGGCTGCCATGGCTCTCCCTAGTCATCCTTCCTCATTCCTTTTTTTTTTTTTTTTTAAAGATTTATTTATTCATACAGAGCTGGGGTACAGGCCAGAGATTCAGAGGGTGAGAGGATTCACCAGAGACAGAGTGGGGAGCAGAACAGGCAGATTGACGAGGTACACTGCTGAGGGGAGCAGCGGGCGTATCAGGAGAGGTCTGCCACGCCATGTGGATCTCCTCCGGGGCAGGCGGGAATCAAACTCATGCAGAGGTGGCTTAAGCTTCTTAGTGCTGTGCTTTAGCCCGCTGCGCTACCAGGGAGGGCCCCCTCATTCCTTTTTAAGGTTGAATATATTCTACTGTTTGGCTCCCCCACACTTGTTCACCCATTCATTGTTTGGTGTATATATGGGTTGCTTCCACTGTTACAAATAACAATGCTATAAATGTTCACCTACAGGCATTTGTGTGGACATGTTTTCATTTTTCTTGAGAGCATACCTAAAAGTGGGATTGGTGGGTTATATGCCAAACTTTTTATGTTTAACTTGTATTTTTTTTTTAAAGATTTTTTTACTTATGCATACAAGAACTGACGTACAGTCCAGAGGTGGTCTGAGGATTCACCAGAGACAGAGTGGGGAGCAGAACAGACGGATCTACTGAAATACACTGCTGAGGGGAGCAGTGGGTGAGACAGGAGAGGTCTGCTGTGCCATGTGGGTCAGCTCCCTGGCGGGGTTGAACTTGTACTGCAGTGGCTGTGACTAACTTGCAGTGCTGTGCTTCAACCTGTTAACAGGGAGTCCCTGTTTAACTTCTTAAGGAACTGCCAAACTTTTCCCTGGTGTCTTACACCATTTTACAATCTCACTAACAATATTTGAGTTCCAGTTACTCATATGCTCTCCAATACTGGTGTTTTGTTTTGGTTTTAGGTTATAACCACCAGGGTGAGTGAAGTTTGCGTCCTTGTGGATTGCATTTCTCTAGTGACCACTGATGCTGAGCATCTTCACATGCTTGTTGGTCATTTGCTTTCTCGAGGGAAATATCTGTTCAAGTCCTTTATTTTTAATTGAATTACTTGCATTTTTATGTTAATGTATTTTTTAAATTATTGAGCTATAAGGATTTCTTCATATTTCAGGATCCAAGTCCTTTATAGATATATGACTTATGTTATATACAAGCATTTATTCCCATTCTGTGATTTGTTTTATCACTCTCTTGAGTGTCATTGAAAATGCAAAAGTTTTTAATTGTAGTGAATTCCAATTCATCTGTTTTGTCATTTGTGCCTTTGATGTCAAAAGCTAAGAATCCACTACACTCTACCCAACAGTTACATAATGTCATTTTAAACATGTATTCTATTTCAGT